ATTTTTACATGTAACAGTATATGTATGTAAGGACTAGACCTAGGCCTCCTATTTATTATATTTATTTAGGCCTAGCCTAAGGGCCTAACAAGGGCTTAGCCTTAGGACATTTGTCAACCAGCCTAGGCCTATATCGACACAGGAAATATTTCTCCTAATTAAATGCACCTGAGGAATCACACTTGACAGCACATTCTGTCCATGATTCTTCTCAATGACCACTGCACGTGGGCTCACAGACTGTCACGCAAGAAGCACATACTCATAGCAGTAAAACCACCTAGGAGCGCGGCAAGGCAAATGAATAGCTACGTTGTGCAGAAGAAGATGGATCATCATTTTACAGACCAGACAACATCACAAGCATTAAAACGTTACACACGAACACTAAATATAAAGACGGTCTAAGAGACCCATAGTATAGCAATGCAAACATAAATCTTGAATAAATATAATACATTTATTTACAGGTTTAAAGCGTCCCTTACGTTTTGATCCAACAACTTCAGGTGGCTTCTCAGACACCACACCATACAAAAAGCAACACACAGCTTAAATGTACTGCGCAGTTCAGTTATCAGCCCAATGCACATGGACTGTGATAAGTCGCGGAAGAATATTCACAACATCATGACGTAATACACACTAATTTACTCCTTCAATGACACACCATTTTATTAAAAATTATTTCAAATTCTGCCAATATGCTAAGTATGTATTTTTAAATGGATGGTGCCTAATAATTATGAAAATACCACATTATAACTCTTGCACTTTTTTCTTACTTTCTTTTTGGTGGCGCGAAAACTGGGCTTTAAAAAAGTAATGATATCGTGGTGGCGCTGTCCTTCCTTCCGTGAAATCTGGTGAAATAACATTAAAACCTAGCCTATTTTTTTTTTTAACAACAAAATGCATAAAATATAACACCTTAGGCCTATATTTCGTTATGCCTACTTTGACATGAAATCTGATTTCGACACATAGGCCCCTAATGATTTTTCAACAATGAATTATTGCAACATTAATAAACCATCGATCCTACATACACAGACTTTTAAATAAGACCAAGTTTATTTCTCATCGTAGCCAAAACGGGCTCTTTCTCATTCAAGTTCATATTGACATTTTTATAAACAAAAACAAAATAAATAAAATAATCCTATTTGATGGTAGACCTGTTTTATAACATAATAAACATGTCCGCCTGCCATGAGAAAGTGAAAAATTCAATTTCCATATTACTCTACCGGTACTGTACGGTTTAAATTGCTTAATTTGTATATAAGTATTAAGAACTTTAACGACAATTAACTGACTGTTAATATGATATCTTTCCTTTTAGTTGGTAATCAATTTAAAGGATTTATATTAATCTGCAAACGCACTAGCTAATTGCTCCAGCCTCAGCGAAAACTCATTTCGACTGTTTCTGGTTGGAAATTATAAATTATTAAATAGGCTCTTCATAATTTTAATTCAAATTGTAAAGTTCCTAGTAACCACTAGATGTCCTGTGTGAACATAGGTACGGTGTTGTAGTAATATAGGCATAAATATTAGGCCTATGTTTTGAATACATAATAATAATATATAATAACATTAACACAATCGTATATCAAATGTAGACCTACCGTATCTTAATGAAATAAATTTAAAACAAATAGAACTGCAACATATCTTGTTTATAATATATGTGTGCAGATAATAAATAGCCTAAATAATTCATTAAAAAAAACCTATTTGTATAATGATAGGTTTTCTTTTACGTCAGTCCATTTCTTTTCAGTTTATTTAAACTACTATAGACGTATTCATTCGTAAGTTTTATAAGTTCCGAATCAGAAAATGTTATTGTCTCCAGGGATGACTTAGAAATTAACTTGCTAGTCCGATTAAAACCGTAAGAAACTATTATAAATAATCTTAACTTAAATATTAGTTTAAAGTTTTTTTGATTTTTGATTTTCAATTTTCTTTGTTGATAAATTAGCGAAGTAGCCTATTATTTGTAAATACAAAAAGTAAATAAAGAAATATTTCATACAAACCTATTCTGACAGTGTTCCAGTGTTGAACCGGGTTAAACTATTCCCATGTTTCCTTATTAGGAATTAACACTCGACAAACACTGCATTGAATTTTAATACACTTAACCGTATTTCCAATTTTCATTTTAAAAATATCTGATTGTATTTAATATTTTTCGTATTTTGCAATTTCTTTCTTCGACCCTCCATCTCTGAAGGTCCCTCCCCTTACCCAGTGGCGTAGCTAGGGGGTAAAGGGGGCACGTGCCACGGGCGCCAGGTTTGGGGGCGCGCTGAAATGGGAGAATGCAGGGAAATGAGAGTAAAAAAATAAGCACTTTTTAGAAAAACACGACGAAATTGATGTATAAAGTCAGGCTTGAATATTTTCCAGTTAATAATAAGAATCTGAATGTAGTTGTTTTTATATTGGCAAATAGATTGTGATTTCTTTTCAGTACATTTCCACCGCTTTCTCTTGTTTTTTACCCTATTATGTAATGACTACATGACTAAAGCTCATCCTGCCATACGGTATCTCAGAGCCACGATGGGAAAAGCGGACTATCTGCTTTGACACTATAGTAGTATTGAGCGTGATAAGCAGACAACGTTGCTAACTTTGATCATGTTATTAACTTATATGCTGATGCAAAAGCACACAAAATTCAGCTGCGAGTTAAAACAATGTTAAAATTTCAGCAAATTACAATACACTTTTTTTTAAATATATATAAGAACCAGTAAAATTTTGCCCAGGCTCAGTGTTCTTATTTTTTGACAGATTTCAGGCTCAAAATGTTATTTTTTTGTTCTTATTTTGCACACTTTCCAAACATAGAAAATTATTATTGTACAGCAGTATACACGGGAGGTGTCGTGATGATTTTTAAATGAGAATTTCTAAATGTTTCATATTTATATTTTGTATATAACTATCAATTTTTCTGTACATTTCAAATTTTCCTTAAGTTTGCACAAAGTTATTTTGATTTTGAATTTTGAATTTGAATTTGAAAAAATGGCCCCTGAATGAAAGGCACATAGGCCTAAAAAAATGGCCCCGGTTAAATAATGGCCCCAAATGGGAGGTACAGCATGTACTGTATTATAGAGGGTATTACATAGTCACATCTATTGCACATAAGGTACAGATAAAATTGTTTGGTTTTTGTAGTTTGACATTCAACCTCAGCCTCAATTTGTTCTTATTTTGTTCTTAATTTTTAAGCATTTTCAGCCTCAGTGTTCTTATAAAATGTGTTCTTATAAATAAAAAAAAGTGTACTCTCTATAAGATAAATTTAGAGAATAAGAATACTAAGCTGTAGGCCTATGCGATAAATACAACAGCCTGACAAATTAGGATAATGGTAAAGTTGTATACAAAGTTCCGAACATCGTTATGCAGGACCCCGCTCTGGCAAATCCTGGCGCCACCCCTGGTAAGAAAGGACATATGAGAGCTAGAATAATAATAGTTATTCGGGTTTAAATAATGTTATTTAGACAGTGCATGATATGGACATACGGTATACAACCAATACTAATTTATTTCAAAATATTATGGCTGTACTACTGGGCTCTCCTACCCCCACCCCATCCCTTCTGGGAGAAAAACCACAATTCGTCGGGGGAAAACAAATATACAGTATGTATTTTCTACATAAATAGACTCGAAAATCGATTAAATAAGCCGTTGGTTTAGAGGATCCAGAGCTTCAGTGCAGTGACTGTCACAAAAATAGGCTGGCCTATCTGATATATTTTTCTAGACCAATAATCTATTGTTTTTGATGTTCCTTCGCGTACTATTAATTATTTCTTGCTCTGTTATTACATTCGCCATGCAAAGGAAAGTCTAATCCGCGCCTGCACGGTACGGTATCAAATGATTTCCAAGCAAAAAATTGATATAATTTTAGTGAAAAATAGAAGTAAGATGTTTGTAAGCAGTGAAACACTGACATGGGTGGGGAAAAACAATATGCCTCCAGTTGAAAGTCCTTGGTACGACGAATTAGAGGCGGTCTTGGAAACTGCTCTGATTGCTCAAGGACGTTTGGTGGATGGATTTCTTGAATGTGCAAGTGTGTGTCTTGAATTTTGTACTCCTGAAAATGTGAACCTTTGGTAATTTGGTGGAAAAATTGGGGGGAGGGGAGTGACGCACTTCAGGTCTGCGTAGGCCTGAAGATGAAGATGGATGATGATATGTTTTTGCGGATGATGGGGATTGAACACAATACTAAATATCTTTGCCGATTTGTTTAGTGAAACTGGGGGAAAATTCGTGTAGGCCATGGGGCCGGGTGGCCTGGGTGGAGAGGGAAGTACCGGGTTGTTGGTTGGAGAACAAACTGCACGACTGTACCAGCGTGACCACTCAAAATTTTTGATATACCCAATGACTGGGTCGAAATTACCCAAGATTCAATAAAAATTGCCCAAAATTACCCAAGCTTCCTGGAAATGCATTAAAATTTGAAAAAACCCATGTTTTTCGCATGTATAGTTCCTTTTTTAGTTCAATTTTTAAACCATTTTTTATTGTAATTCTTTGTGTTAATTATTAAAATGAATATTCATGAGGTAATAATACGGATAGAAAAATACACCCTCAGTCGGCCAGTGTTATCAGTAGATCAGTGATCAAGTTTTATTATGTAATGCATAAAATTAGATAAGATCAATGGCAACGCAAATCAAAAAATAAACAATTCTGAACCCATGTTTATAGCAATTAACAGTCAATTAACAATGTTATGTGCACTTCGTTGAGTTTTGCTTACTTGATTTACATCTCCCTGCTTGAATGGACTGAAATATACTTTGTTACTTCTTAATTCTTCCTCTATGACAAAAAATATTAAATTTTCTTAGTAAAAATAAAATACCCAAGGATTTGAACGAAATACACAAGAACCCAAGACCAAGTCAAAATACCTAAGATCTTGGGTAAATACTCAAGCAGTCACGCTGGACTGTACTGTATACTACGCACTGCGCTACGCATGCGCCCCAAATGTTATGGTTGATGATGATCTTGTACACAATGTGGATTGCGGGCTGGTGATTGCATTCAGTCTCTGGATTTCTAAGAAGTCTAGGCCTAGTGTTATATTTTCAACTAAATAGTAGTTCTATGGTAAGCTAAGTTTTTTACATTTTGTGGACCTCAAATTTACGAATATGCCTTTTGTCCTAGGCTAGTAGGCTCACCAGTATAATGGTGTAGGCTAGGCCTACGATTCGAGATTGTAACCGGTGGTGGTGGAAGTTCAGCAGCGCACTGTAAGTGGGACAATGCCCTTCCAGTAAGTTGTCCCTGCTACAAATTGCAAGACCTAGGGCCTACGCTTTTGCTACATTGTGATTTAGCCTGTATAAACCCCATCCTTGATATAACAACTCCCTGCATGCATGGATGGGCAGTAGAGTAGCAGTGATGGTCATTATTGGCAACAAGGGATTGGACATTGTGTTGACTCTGCATTCGCTGTGAGAATGATATGCATGAAATTGAAATGAGACGCTTTTTTACTGCCACTGGTACAGTGGTAGGGCCCTATCTATTTAGTGGCCTAGTCCTTCTTGGTCATGTATTCTTAAATAGTGAGTAAGTGTGCTTGAAAATGAACTGGGGAAAAAGAAAGATAAAAATACAATAGGGCATACTTCATTTTAAATGTACAAGCTAATAATATAGATGATAATTATAGATGTTGATATGATTTAATGAGCCCAAAAATATGCAACTTGGGAAAAAAAAATGGCAGTGGCTATTATTACACCAGTCTTTGAATTACTAAATATATAGCCTATATTCTTTCTTAATTGGTTTAGTGTATCAAGGTATTTTGAGAACGATTTACATGAAGACTAAACACATATGGCGTCTTTTGATGTTGTTGTTCGTGCTGACTGCTCTGTTTGTAGTCGAGTCAATTCTTTTTCTTCCTATTCTTCAATGGAATACGAATGGTCAGTCAAGTCTGCCGACAAGAAGCCGACAGGAACGGGAATCCAAGATCAAGCATGCAATGTTCCGCCATCAGCTCATTCAAGAAAAGCGAAACCGTACGAAATACATCCGAGTTGATTCCACAAGCCTCCATCTGCCAAAACATTTGTTACCTCTCAAAAAATCTTCTAATACCTGGTTTTCTAATAATGCCTCCCAGATGTTGCACTGTGAGGATATTCTGGAGATAAGTCTGGTGAAACGAATCGGAAAAGGTACCACCAAAGAGGTGTGGAAGGCGACTTATCAGCAGAAAGAAGTCGCTGTAAAGTTAGTGTCTAAGTCCGTTGATGACATAAGGACGTGTATGAAAAGAGTACAAGCTGATGAGGAGGAGCGACGAAGGTGCTATACATATGCTAATTACAAACTGATGAAAGAAATATCACTGCTACTGGATTTACAACATTCAAACTGTCTCTTATACACATCTATGTTTCATATTTATATCTTGCATATAACTATCAATTTTTCTGTACATTTCAAATTTTCCTCGAGTTTGCACAAAGTTATTTTGAATTTGAATTTTGAATTTGAAAAAATGGCCCCTGAATGAAAGGCACATAGGCGTAAAAAAATGGTCCGGTTAAAAAATGGCCCCAAATGGGAGGTACAGCATGTACTGTATTATAGAGGGTATTGCATAGTCACACCTACTACACATAAGGTACAGATATAATTTTTTGGTTTTTGTAGTTTGACATTCAACCTCAGCCTCAATTTGTTCTTATTTTTTCTTAATTTTTAAGCAATTTCAGCCTCAGTGTTCTTATAAA